CTAGCCTCCAGAACTGTGAGACAGAAATTTCTGTTGTTTAAGCCACTCAGTCTATGGTACTTTGTTATGGTGGCCCTAGCAAATGAACATCGTATTATATCAACACTAAAGATTCTGAAGATGAAAACCATTTTCTGGTTAGATGAAAACCATTTTCTGGTTATGTATTATAATGTCCTTGCTCTTAGATGATTCCCTCTGAAATATTTAGGGGTAAAGGGTCATGATATCTGCAACATAGTCTTAAATGGATCAGCGATGACAATGAGTATATAAATATAGAGAGAGTAAATAGGGCAAAAAATGTTAATAATTGGTGAATCTAGGTGAAGAGTATAAACGGGATTTCATTTTATTATTCCTGTAACTTTTCTGTAAGTTTGACTCTGTAAAATTGTAAGCCCAGTGCTTCATACACTCTCTCAGGTAAGGACTGCTGTTCCTCATCTTCCAGAGAAAGAACGGAGGCTCCGAGATGGGAACCTCTTGCCCAAGACCCACACAGCAAGGAATGGGAAGCTGGAAGTGAGCCAGGTTGTGTCTGCCTTCACAGCCCATCCCAGCCTTTCTTCTGTGCAAATAAACGGAGTGCACACAGCAGGCGTCTAATCAAGACTGAACGGGAAAGAAACCTGCGCTGCTGAGAGAAATGGATCCTGGGAACAGGCCTTCTTGAGAGCAGCTAGTCGACTGTGCTGTTGGGAGTCAGCGAGGTGCCCACCCCACAGCCGGTGACGGAAATGCCAGCCAGAGGGCTGTGCCTCCAGTACAGCGACCCCACAGCACCTCCTCTTCCTGACCCACCAGACCCACCTCCTCTCTCGGGGACGAGAATGCAGGAGGGAAGGAGGCAGGCTGAGAGGTCTGGCAAAGAGCCCACCCATTCAGGCCCCGGTGAGACTTCTAAGATGCTTCATCCTGCATAAGGGCAGGCACTTTTCCCTCCCTGGGGCCTGCATCGAATGAAGGGGAAGGTACCCTCCACCCCCGCTAGGGGAGCAGGCAGGCAGCACATCCGGGGCTGGCACCAGCTGCTGATACCAGGCCTCAGTGCCCATTACTCATCATCTTCCTGGAGGTTCTGGCTACATCCTTCTCCCAGCTAGGAGCCCAGGTCCCCAGCATGGGAAAGGTGATGCTGCCAACACGCCAACACAAGGACACCCTGCCCCTCACCACATTAGCCATCCCACACCCCATACACCTGTGCCCCTCAGAACATGCACCCCTTCCCTCCCTCCTGCCCTCTTCCCTCCATTCTACTTCCATGCAACTCTACTTTCCCTAATCCCAAATACAGCCGTTCCTTAATCCAGGCTCAACTCACTAAGAGTCCACCATCCTTCTGACTCTCAAAGCAGAACCCCTTGCCTTGACAAGTCTGCTTCCCACACACTGCCAGTTCTTTTTTGTGTGTGTGTGAGGAAGATCAGCCCTGAGCTAACATCCGATGCCAATCCTGTTTTTTTTTTTTTTTTGCTGAGGAAGATTGGCCCTGAGCTAACATCAGTGCCCATCTTCCTCTACTTTATATGGGACGCCACCACAGCACAGCTTGACAAGCGGTGCGTCAGTGCGTGCCCAGGATCCGAACCCACGAACCCCAGGCCAACCAAGCTGAGCGCGCACACCTAACCACTTGTGCCACCAGGCCGGCCCCCTGCCAGTTCTCCTCTTTTGCCCTACCCACCTTGCCCCCATCGTGAATGGCCCCTTGTACTGGAACTGATTCTAACAGACCTCACTTAATGCTCATAACCACGCTGGAAGTCAGGCAACACTGGGAGCTAAATCCATCTCCACCTCCATCACCAGAGGAGGAGAGACTGAGGCTCAGAGAGGTGGAGTAACCTGCTGGAAGTCACATAGCTACCGAGCAGCTGAGCCAGGATTCAAACCCAAGACTGCCTGCCCTGAAATCAGTGCTCTGAACTGTCGGCTCCACAACCTCCTAAACAGCCCCAGCCAGCCTGGACTGGGGATGATCTTCATCTCCTCAAACCAAACCCCCACACTCCACAGGTAGCATCCCCAGCCTCCCTCACAAGATCCTCTTCTAGTCATTCTTCACAGAGCATCTTTCTGCTCAACTTAAATTCCCTAAGTCTGGGATAACGTGTCTGCACAGTCTGGAGCCTAGTATTGCACTTTGTTTTGGGCTCCATAAGAGTCAGTTAACAGGAGAGGGCACGGGTTTGCGGCTACCCCAGGCTGGCAGACTTAGGGGATGGCAGGCTGGAGGTAGTGACTGGCCCAGGTCACTGAGAGGCCGCAAACCCTGAGTGTGTAAGTATAAGCAGAAACTCAGACTAAGACCCCTCAAACCACAAAGCAGGAGAGCATCAAAGAGGTTCACGCTAAAGGTCACACAGCCAGTAAATGACGGAGCAGGGACTCTGATGGGGAGAGAGGCTCAGAGAAGGGAAGGCTCCTGCCCAGAGACACATGGCAAGCTGGCAGCACTGGCACTTGAACCCCGGGCCTATAATTCAGTCCACTGCTTTGTCATGTTACTGACCAAACACAAACCAGAAGACACCAATTTAAATTTGCAACTCAATCCTCCCTCCCACTCTGACTCCCTTCCCTTACTCTATTTTTCCTATTTCCAGAGCACTCATCACCTTCTTTTTTTGTTTGTTTTGCTGAGGCAGATTGTCCCTGAGCTAACATCTGTGCCCATCTTCCTCTATTTTGTATATGGGACGCCACCGCAGCATGGCTTGATAGACGGTGTGTCTGTCTGTGCCCGGGATTCGAACCTGCGAACCCCAGGCAGCTGAAGCGGAACACACAAACTTGACCACTATGCCACCAGGCCGGCCTCTCATCACCTTTTAACACACTTTACAAACTTACTATGTTGGTAGAACGTCAAGTCCACTAGATCAGGGATCTTTCATCTCTTTTGCTCCCTGACATATTTCAAGCACCTAGAACAGTGCCTCCTCCATATAGTAAAAGCTCAGCAAATATTTGCTGAGCAAGTAAATTAGCCCAACAAACATTGATTGAATACTTACTGAGGCCAGGCTGTGAACTGCAATCATGTTGCTGGATCCCAAATCAACCTAGACACTAACGCTCCCTGAACCCTGAAACAAGCCAACGTTTCAGCTGGCTCCAGAAAGGAGCTGGCAAACCAACCCGAACTCAAGCCAAACCAGTACATTTCCTGAAATCACCAAACTCGCAAACAAAACTAGAACATGATGCATCTCTGAACTGAAGAGAACCCAAAGTTCCTGGAGGCTCCACCTGAGAAGCAATTTCATCCCGCCCTCAAAAAGGCCCAGCAAGACTTAGAGGCTCTGCAGCCCCTCAGCCCAGCCATCCACTGCCAGATTCACAGCTGCCACTTTCTCAGCATTGCTAAGAAATCACATCACTTTTGCTAAACAAGTCTCAGTTAGATCTGCCACAGCCTAGTGGTGGGTATCACTGGGCACTCTGGCCTTGCCCAGGAGGGTACAGCTCATCTGTACCAGATGCTCCTCCCTGGGACGTCAGATGAGAAGGATCCAGAAACATCCTTGGCCTTCCGGCCCTCTCCTTAGGGCTGTCCAGTACCCTCCAGTGGGAGGACTGGTGGGTGGGCAAAATTGGAGCTACTTCTGAGAGTGTCAGAGCTGCAGACATCAACTCCCTGGGTTCCTGCAGCAATTCTCAAGGAGCCTCTCCTTCAGCCAGCAGGGGCACGGTGTCCAGTGATTTCTATGTGCATGTGGGCTTGGCTGAACCGGAATGCAGAGCACAAGACTTTGAGACTTTTAATACATGGCTTCTGATCAAAGCCAAAAGGCTGTTTTAAGAAGTCCTGAGTCTACTATTTGCCTCAGTCCAAGGAACAACAATCTCAGAGGAGACCACTCCGGAGAAAAGTAAGGCATTCCAGAACTGCTGCTCTGCTTCAGAACCGTCTTGGGAAAGAGGGAAACAAAAACAGGCTCCATCAGCCCCTCCCCCAGCCAATGAGCTGTAACAGCAGCTGCAACAAACATTTACTGAGCTCTTACTGTGCCAGGTACTGTGTAAACGTGCAGCAGAGGCAGGCCTGAGATCCCTGCTCCACCTTCCAGCTATGGAACGTGAGTCACATATGGCTTCTCAGAGCCTCCTATTCTCATTTGCAAAATGAAAGATAATAACTGAATCGACTGCATGGAATTGTTGTGCGAGTCCGATGAGATAAAGCTTAGCCCAGTGCCTGCCACCTAGTAAGAGCTTAATAAAAGGCAGTTTTTTCAAAGGAAAGGACCGGCCTCTATTGACAGAAGGAAAACTACTACTTAAGGAGTTACTAAAAGTCCCCTAAGCCATTATTTATGTATCTAGTTATTTCCTAAGCGTTTGTTGTTGCCCGTTTTTCAAATAAACTTAATCCTCACAGCATCCTAGGGGTGGAAGGGGCAGAGGGCAGCGCGGCAGTCCTCGTGACAAAGGACGAAAACAAGGCCCCGAAGGTCCAGGGAGGCGGCCAGCAGGCACCGGGGGAGGGGCCCTCTGCCCTCAACCCTCCCGAGTGGTCAAAACATCAGACAAGCCCCTCCTCGGCGAGAAGCGGCTGGAGGCCGTGACTAGCGGGGCAGTCGGCGCTGGGACTTTAATTCACCACCGATAAGTGGTGGTCATCTTTTGTCCGTAAAGAAAAAAATGCACGTCAGGGCCAGACCCCGGGGAAATAGGAGTCAGCGCCCTGAGACGCCAGACGCTGGGCCAGGCCCCGGTGGAAAAAAGAGATGGCGGTCCCCGTTCCGGAGAAGCAAGAGCCCTCGGGGGCTCAAGTGGGGCGCCGGGGCCCCCGAGGACCCCCCGGGCGCCAGCCAGAGGAGGAGAGGGGGCGGCGGCAGCCGGGGGGGGTCCCGGGCTCCGCTCACCTGGCCGCAGCGTTCGGCGCACCAGGCTCGGCCAGGCACCCGCCAGCCTGGAGCGGGGCCGGGGTCGCTCCTGCTCGCAGAGGCCCAGCCCCCAGAAGCAGCCGGCGGCGGCCGGGAACTCACCTGCCGTCGCAACCGCGCCACCGCCGCCTGTCAGTCAAGCGCGCCCCCCGCTGCGCCGCGCAGGGTCGAGGGGCCCGGCCGGCCGCGCCCCGCCTCCTCCCCCTCCGCCGCCCAATCCAGTGAGGCCGACGCCACGGATGGGGGCGTGGCCAGGCGGGCGGTAGCGCCTGGGGCGGGACCAGGCGGGGTTGGGGCGGGGCCGTGCTGGTTGGGGCGGGGCCCGGCGAGGCCCGCGCTCTGACCTCACTGCTGCGCGCCGGAAGCAGCCCGGGTCAGGGCGCTGCGGCGCGGCGGCGGGACCGCGGGGTCCGGGGCATCATGCCGGTCACCGGGAAGAGTTTCCGCCGGCGCCGGGCCGACTCGGAGTCGGAGGAAGATGAGCAGGACTCAGAGGAGGTTCGGTGCGTTTGGGACGGGGCTTCCCGGGGGCAGAGAGAGGCCGGCTTGGGGGACTCACCACTGGCCAGGCGCCTTGTTGATACCATTGCCGTGAGCCGCGGTGGTTGTCCCTTGCTGCGGACGAAGAAATTGAGGCTCCTAGGGATGAGGCCACCACCCCAAGGCTCAGTTGGGAGAGGTGTCCCCACGATGCGCATTGCGTCTGAGTCCCAGTGGGTCTGGGCGCAGGTCCGCCTTCTGGACCACTGTGCTGGCGGCTCAGCAGCGGGACCGGGGAGCCGGCGGAAGCTGCTTTTTGACTCTGAGTTTCTCGGAGAGTCGCTCAGCCTGTGTATTGCATTTTTTCAGATTAAAACTGGAAGAGACTCGAGAGGTACAGAATTTGAGGAAGAGGCCCAATGGGGTGAGGTGGGTACGGCGGGGGGACCCGGAGGAGGAGGAGGCGGGAATGACAGACACGCCCCCGCCGTGGTCGCTGTCACAAATATTTCCTAAGACATAGCCCTTTCTCTTAACACATGTACACTTTCTACTGCCCTGAAAGGGGTTCTTTGCAACGTTTACCCAGGAGATGTCCTGAGCCGTGTGGTCTTGAGGTTTGCTCCAGAGGTGCTGAAACAGGTCACTAACTCATGTTTTTATTGCACCCGATTAGTTGTGAAATGCACATTGCTTGTTAAGAATTTGGAAAATTTAGAAAAGCATAATCCAGAAAATAAACAGCACTCGTATTTCTCCCATCCAGAGGTAACCAGTGTTAACATTTACTGTTCTTTCCAATCTGTTTTCTTTCTCTCTTTTGTACAGATTATGGGTACTTTTATTCTATGCTATTTTCAATTCATTATGACATTGTGGGTGGGCATTCGCTCACATTGTGGATTGTTTTACCAAAAACCCTGTTAATGCCTGCATGATATTCCACGACGTGTGTGTACCATCATTTGTTAACTAATCCCCTATTTGGGGACCTGTAGGTCATTTTGTAAATTTTCATCATTAAATAAGGCTGCAATAGGTGTTTTCCCACATTTGTCTTTAGCTGCATTTTCCCTGAAGGCAGAATCTTAGAAATGAGATTTCCAAGCCAAGATAATGCCAAATGGCTTTATAGGAAAGTGTACCACTTCACTCACCATCACCACCACCCCATCCTCTGCCCCTAACACCTAGAGTGCTTGTTGAGCCCTGTTTTATTCTTGTAGACTTTTCCAGCTGGCTTTGGTGCCCACCCCTCAAATCTCACCATTGCACTAATGTTGTAACCTGTAAACATCCTAAGTGTTCTTCCTCATCTCTGAATTGTGCCATTTCTTTCTTTCTCCCCCTCTCTCCCTTTTTGGTTTTGCTCAGTGCTGTGGCCCTGCTGGTGGGAGAGAAGGTGCGAGAAGAGACTACCCTAGTGGTAAGTTGTGGGGTCCTCCCTGGGTGGTGGGATGATGTGGCTGCTCTTCAGTGGGTAATTGTGTTTAAAAAAAGAAAAAAAAAAACCCCACTGCCAATTATATAGATGCTTCTTCTAAGCTGTGTTTGCTTTCTGCAGGATGATCCCTTTCAGATGAAGACAGGTGGTATGGTGGACATGAAGAAACTGAAGGAAAGGGGCAAAGATAAGTAAGTGTAGGGCATGCTGAGATGCAGATTCACCTGTAGCCCCTGCCTGGGTCTGCGTGCCCCCAGAGAGCTGGGGCCTGCAGCAGCAGCTTTAGTGGCACATCCTGAAATGTCCTTTGTGCTTTGTAAAGAAGCAGAAACTCTTTAAAAGTTAACTAAGAGCAATGTGGGTACGCTCCTTTTGTAAAGGTGCATTGTTTATTGTCTTTCAAACCCATGGAAGTTTTGTTCCTCTTCTTTAAGAAAAACATAAAAACACAATTACAAAAATAACATATTCAGACACTACAAAAGTGAAACAGAAAAGTATCTGCTCACTCCCCAGAGGCGTCTCTAGAGGCCAGGAGTTGGCTTGCATATACTTCTTCTATTTACATCTCATATATATTTTTTTCCCAACCATAAACAGAATATTATACTTTTTTCTTATGTACTTATTTTATGCGCATAACATAAAACTCAGCATCAGTAAGTTGTGACTTTCAGGCTCTGCCTCACTGTTCTCCCCTTTTAGGATCAGTGAAGAGGAGGATCTCCACCTGGGGACGTCATTTTCTGCAGAAACCAACCGAAGGGACGAAGACGCTGACATGTAGGTGTCAGTCTGTTTGGCTGTGAGCGATGGGGGGTGGGCTCCAGCCTGATGGAGTCCGAGATAAGTTACAATGGCATTTCCAGAATTATTCAAAGATGGCAAAGTTGGCTTCTCTCACCCCACTTCCCAGGCTTGAGAACTTTGAAAAAGTCTTAAACATTCTTTAAAAGGGTGGTTCTTGGGATTTTAGATTCCTAGACTAGTAATATTTTCCTCAGACATTGTAGGGATAAACATTGGACTGACTTTTTATTTCACCCACAAGGCTGTTGAATTAACAACTACCATCTACTGTTATCTGTCTTTAAAGAACCTTACATATGATGACGCCGACAGATTAGAATATAATCTCATAATAGAGGTTGGTGCTTTAAGTTGAAAAACTTTAGCTTGATGAGAAAACTCAAGTTATTTTTATTTTTCTCATTTCTCCATGGACCGATGAAAACTTCATCATGGACCATCACTGCTCTGTGGGCCAGTGTTGGGGACCACTAATTTTTTTTTTCCTTCTCTTTTTTTTTGGGGGGGGGGGGGAGGGAGGAAGATCAGCCCTGAGCTAACATCCATGCCAATCCTCCTCTTTTTTTTGCTGAGGAAGATTGGCCCTGGGCTAACATCCATGCCCATCTTCCTCCACTTTTATATGAGACGCCGCTAAAGCGTGGCCTGACAAGTGGTGCGTTGGTGGGCCCCTGGGATCCGAACCCCACATCACCAGCAGCAGAACACACGCATTTAACCGCTGTGCCACAGGGCCAACCCCGGGACCACTAATTTTTAAAAGACACCTGTTGTGAGCTTCCTGCCCCTCCCTGAGGCCTATGGGTTTCTTGTTTCAGGATGAAGTACATTGAGACAGAGCTGAAGAAGAGGAAAGGGATCGTGGAACACGAGGAACAGAAAGTCAAGCCAAAGAATGCAGAGGACTGTCTTTACGAACTTCCAGAAAATATCCGTGTTTCCTCAGCAAAGAAGACTGAGGAGATGCTTTCCAACCAGATGCTGAGCGGCATCCCCGAGGTGGACCTAGGCATCGAGTACGTTTCAGACCCATGGTCTTGCCTCTCTCTGGCCCCTAGGCGAAAGGAAGAGCTCTAGGCTTTCCAGTTAAAGGGACTATTTGTTACTGTCTCCTTGGAAACCCACAAATATAAACTGTCTTCTCTCTGGCAGGGGAGATGTTTGTCTCCAGGTGTTTCCCTGAAGACTTGGTCACAGTAGTTAACGAGACTTAAGGGCCCCTGACTGCTGAAAGCGAAAGTGTTTTTTTCTGTTTTTTTAATGGAGACATAGTTAACATATAACATTTTATTAGTTTCAGGTGTATAACAATGATTCACTATTTATATACAAAAGTGTTTATTTAGTCTTTGTTCACAGTTCTTCAGCTGTTCTTAACAGGCCCTTATATTCTGTTTTATTCTAGCAGGAGTGATGTTAAAGGCTTACCCACCCCACGATCCTCCTTTCATTTTACTACAAAACATCTGCTCTAAAAGGGGATTGTCATGGAGGAAATCCTATGGTCAGAATCATCTTTGGGTGCAGGAGAAAGTTGGGAGACCTCTGGGTTCTCACCTCTTTTCTGGTGTTACTGGCTTTGAGCCTTAACCAGTTCACTTTACTCCTCTGAGGCTCAACTTCCTCTTGATCTGAAGAGCATAGCTGCATTACCAATCGCTGTGAGAGCTCCATGAGAATGTGACAGTAAGGGAGTTGGTAAACTGTAGAGTTTTGTGCCCCAAGAAGGATGATTTCTTTATGCAGTGATGGGCTGCCAGCCTCACCCGTCAGTTCCGTCTGAGGACCAGAGGTGCAGCGATCTAATACGTGGCGTGGCTCCTTTCTCCCCATAGTGCTAAAATAAAAAATATCATTTCCACGGAGGATGCTAAGGCCCGTCTGCTGGCGGAGCAGCAGAACAAGAAGAAAGACAGTGAGACGTCCTTCGTGCCCACCAACATGGCTGTAAATTATGTGCAGCACAACCGATGTAAGCTTCTCTGGGGAAGCATCCCTGCCCTCGCCCCGTTGGTTTGAGGTCCCTGGGTTCCCATATTTTGTCTGACATGTCCCCTGGTCTCTTTTGGTCCAGTTTATCACGAGGAGCTCAATGCCCCCATACGGAGAAACAAAGAAGAGCCCAAAGCCCGACCCTTGAGAGTGGGGGACACAGAGAAGCCAGAGCCTGAGCGTGAGTACAGCAGCGGCCTGGAGTGGTCCTCGCTCGGGGCCCTTGAAGGCAGGGTGGGACTCGGCAGGGGCGGAGCTCGGGTTTTAGGGCCAGGGCATCTGGGTTCCAGTCCATGCTCTGGACCATCATGTGCCTTCCTCTTTCCAAGCCTCAGGTTCCTCATCTATAACATGGGGATAGTAATAACACCTACACTTGAGGTTGCTCTGTGGATTCACTGGGCTATCAAATATAACTGAGACTCAAAAAATTAGAAAATTTCAAAATGCAAAAATAAAAGTTACTCATAATTTCACCACCAAAGATGACCACTGTTAACATTTTTATATATAATCTTCTAGACTTTTTAATATTCATATATATAGGAAACATATATTCTATACATACTTAATAGGATCTCATAGCTTTTTATTTATTTTTTTTTAATGCTTTTTTTTTTTTGTGAGGAAGATCGGCCCTGAGCTAACATCTGCCAGTCCTCCTCTTTTTTTGCTGAGGAAGATCCATGCCCATCTTCCTCTACTTTATATGGGATGCCGCCACAGCATGGCTCGACAAGCGGTGTGTCGGTGCACGCCCAGGATCCGAACTGGCAAACCCCAGGCCGCCGCAGCAGAGTGCACACACTTAACTGCTTGCACCACCGGGCTGGCCCCTCATAGCTTTTTACTCAGTAGTGCACCCTGCATGTCTCTCCCTGAAAGTAAATACATATTTTCCTTTTCAACGGCCATATCATGTGCCATTGTACAGTCATGCGTTGCTGAATGATGGGGAAATGTTCTGAGAAATGTGTTGTTATATTTTGTCCTTGTGCAAACATCATAGAGTGTACTTAGAAACCTAGATGGTATAGCGTACTACACACTTAGGCTATATGGTACTAATCTTATGGGACCACTGTCATATATGTGGTCTGTCATTGACAGAAATGTCGTTATGTGGTGCATGACTATATATAGATGTACTGTAGTCTAACCATTTCCTTCTGGTTGGACACTTTGTTTCCCATTTTTCCCTATTAAAACCGTGTTTTGATGATCATTCTTGCCGATATCATGTCCGTAGATATATTCTGAGAAGTCACCAAATGGTCCTTTAGAAGTGTGATGCCCCTTTCCCACATGCTCTCCAGCACCAGCTGGTGTCGTCTTTGTCATCAGCAGTGGGATGATTCTAAGGAAATGCGGAATTTGCTGAGGGTTCTGAAAATCCAGCCTGGTGTTCTGTTTCTTCCTTCCTACTTGGGAAATTATTTTCTGTGACATCTGGGTTGCACAGTCTTTGACTCCGAAAGAGTTTCATGTTATTAACATGTAGTAAGCCAGGACTTTGGAGTCACCAGACTTGGATTCAATTCTCAGCCTACCTTCCCTTTGAGTGACCTTGAGGAAGTCACTTAACCTCCGAGCAGAGATGGCAACATGCCCATGTTAGGATTGCTGTGAGAGTTAAAGGAAGTCATGTCTAAAAGGATTAAGTGCCAAGCCTGGTACATAGTCAAACACACACTGAAGCTTAGCTACTACTGCTCACCTAGTCTAATGCTGATGTCAGCATATTTTGGCTGGCACCTGATCTACCATACGCTTATTTTCATTCACTCAGTAACAAGTATCTTTGGAGGCCCTACTGTGATCCTATTCACTGGAGTAGGAACTGGGGCTCCTGTGGGGAGTGAGGCAGGCATGGTCCTTGCCTGTGCAGAGCCAAAGCCTGTCAGTGGCTTCCAGCGTGGCACACAGCTTTTTCTCTTTTCCTTGTCAGGGTCCCCTCCTAACCGCAAGCGTCCTGCTAATGAGAAGGCCACCGATGATTATCACTATGAGAAGTTCAAGAAGATGAACAGACGGTACTGAGGGTGGCTAAAGGGGAGAAGTGCAGAGTGGGATGTAAAATAGTGCCATCTCCTCTCTCCCCGCCATGATAAAAGGCTCCCTGGACAGAAGCCTGCTCATCTGCTAGCAGACAGTTCCAAAAACAGACTCTATTAGTCCTGCTGCTTACCTGCTGGATTTTTTAGGCACTGAATTTGTAACCTTTTGAAACAAAACAATGTCTGGTTTTCCTATTTGGGGGCAAACTCTATTCTTGTGAGCATTATTAAATCTTGTTTGTAAATATGTTGACTTTCTCTTAACATTTGCCCTGGGTCAGGAGGAAGCAACTCTGTGCTCAGGATGAGATAATACCCTTTAGATTGTGCTTTTATTATTATATATACAATCATGTCTTCTACTTTCAAATATCTGGAAGGGGGTTCAGAAATGCATCTGTCACTGTTTACAGTGGACCCAGCTGACAGCAGAAAAATCCAGGATGGGATCAGAGGGACACTGGTATTTTCTGACTTTTACAAAGTTGCCTGTTTCTTTTCATTAAGAAGGAAAAAAACAACAATTTCTATCACTTTCAGCACTTAAGTATTAAATATGAAATGAATCCAGCCTTATTGTTTGTATTGTGTCTCCTTACACCTGCCCTAGGTGATGTGTTCAGAGCATGAGGGCTGGGCAGCTCAGATGCAAAACTCAGTTACTGAGAGAGATTTTCTCATTTAGGTCAAGGACATAGACAGGCTCCATCCTGCTAGCTGTCGGAGTTCGGAGTTTGGCACCACTTGTGCTGTCATTTTCCCTAAGGCACTTACACAGGTCAGGATGAGGAAGGAGCAGGTCGGTTGATTCCTGGGCTGATTTAGACTGGGTGTTGTGGTTAGAGAAGTTTGGCTTTGGAGTCAGATCTGAGCCCTGCTTACAGCTTACTGTCATATCCTTGGACAAATTGCTTTCTCTCTGAGCATCACTTTTCTCATCTGTAAACTGGAGAGTTTTTCTTCCCTTCCACTGGAAGGAAAGGTCAGTGAAGGCAGGAATCGTGTGCACTTCATTTTTTTCTTGAATCCCCAGGGTCTGGTCCATAACCTGACATGTAGGCAATCCTCAAAACTATGAATGAGTAAGTGGAAGTAACTCTACAGTGGGGAAACTTGACACACTTACCTCATCCAGGTGATGAAGGTCAACAATCAGTGGTCATAAATCATGTTGACAGTATGTACCCTTGATGGGATGTTATAAAAATAGCACTTTACCTCTGTAAGGTTTATTCCTCCCTATACCCATAACCTCAGTCGAATCATAAGGAAAACATCAGACAAATTCCAGTAGTGGGGCATCCTAAAGAGTTGACCGGGGCCCCCCAAAACTGTCAAGGTCATCAAAACCGAGGAAAGTTTTGAGTAACAGTCGTAGCCAAGAGGAGTCTAAGGAGACATGACAACTAAATATAATGTGGTATCTTGGGTGGGATCCTGGATTAGAACTAAGACATTAGGTAAAAACTAAGGAAATCTGAATAAAGTTATATCAATATAGGTTCATTAATTTTAACAAATGTAACATACTAATGTAAGATGTTAATAATAGGGTAAACTATGTGGGGGGTGGTATATGGGACCTCTCTGGACTGTCTTCTCAATTTTCCTGTAAATCTAAAACTTAAAATAAATCTTTGATTTAAAAAAGACAGCGGCTCCCAGTGGCTTCCGGCGCCCACCTCCCGGAAGCGGGAAAGGGCTCTGCCCCGCGCAAAGATGGCGGCCGCCGGCCTCGCGAGGAGGTCCGCCCGGCACAAAGATGGCGGCCGCGGCGGAGCGGAACCGGAAGCGCGGGGCGGCGGCGGCCCGGGCGGCGGTAGGCGCGAGAGCGCGCAGGGCGGCGCGGGTCCGGGCATGAAGCTGGGCCGGGCCGCGCTGGGCCTGCTGCTGCTGGCGCCGCTGGGGGTGCGGGCGGTGGAGCCCATCAGCCTGGGCCTGGCCCTGGCCGGCGTGCTCACCGGCTACATCTCCTACCCGCGCCTCTACTGCCTCTTCGCCGAGTGCTGCGGCCAGAAGCGGAGCCTCAGCCGGGAGGGTAGGCCGGGCCGGGGCTGGGCGGGGCCGGGAGGGCCGAGCCGAGGCGGGCCGGGGCCTGGTTCCGGGGCCACGAGCGCGCACAGACCGGACTTGGGCCGCAGCCCCGAGGCGAGCCGCAGGCTGGGCTGCCCCACGCGGAACCCCGGGGGTGTGGACGGCTGTAAACTTGTGCAAAGTTCTGCTCCTTCCAGCCGATACGGGAAGGAAGACGGGGGCTCTTCCGGCGCGGACACTGCGGGCCAGCTGCGGCCCTCCTCCTGCCCGGCCGTGGGGCGGAGCCAGAGCCGGGGCGAGGGGCGCACGCTGGGGGCGCGGCGGTGGAGCCCAGGACCTTTCCAGGAAGGAGCCCGGGGCCGGCCTCCCTGACCCACCGCTCGCTTCTCACCTCGCCTCTCACCATATGCTCCAAGAGCTCAGCTGGCTTTGCTGGCTTTCACATGAGCCTGTAAACTTGACTAAATTTTGCCAGCTGGGTCCCCCCCTCCCTCCCTGACTGGCCTTCTTTTTGCCAGCTTTGCAGAAGGATCTGGACAGCAAGCTCTTTGGACAGCATCTTGCAAAGAAGGTCATCTTAAATGCTGTGTCTGGCTTCATAAGCAACCCGAAGCCCAAGAAACCTCTCACCCTCTCCCTACACGGGTGGACGGGCACCGGCAAAAATTTCGTCAGTAAGATCATCGCAGAGAATATTTACGAGGGTGGCCTGAACAGTGACTATGTCCACCTCTTCGTGGCCACACTGCATTTTCCACACGCCTCCAACATCACCCTGTATAAGGCAAGGGCAGAGTTTTGCAATCCTTCCTGAGTGGCATTGGGTTTGGGGTTTCTTTGTTGTGGGACAGGATTTGGGGCTTCCATGTTGAAATGAGTGAGCCCTGAAAATGGCTGCATGGGTCAGTGCTTTGGAAGGTGTGGAAGGTTTGAGATGCTCAGAGCAATTACACGATCAAAGCTTCGTGGTAGTTTCTCAAAACAGGCCCAGTGTGGTACTCAGTAAGTGGGGTCCTAGGATTTTAGAGATGGACGTGATCAAATCCAACTTAAAGATCATCAGGTTTAACTCATTTTGTAAAAGAGGAAACGTTTCTAGAGAGGCTTAAGTTTGTTCAACTGACACGCTGCAAACAGCTTTTGCAGTTTTTAACTCGATGGGTAACAGCCTGGGCTTTGGCAGCAGACACACCTGGAATTGAGTCGAAACTCTCCCACCTCCTAGCTGTGTGATCTGGGGAAAGTCACCTGACCTCTCTGAGACTCGGTTCTTCATTTGTAAAGTGGTGGTTGTGAGAATTGAGTGAGCTCTGTCTGTCAAGCATGTAACATGGGACCTGATACATGAGCGTTCAAATCAGCATTAACTATTGTTTTTTTAAATCCGTGTAACAAATGTGCGTGGTGGGCAAAACAGTCAGATACTTAGCCCTCACCTGTGTGAGCACATTTTTCCCTTCTGTTGGGGTGAGCATGAGGGTCACCAACTGTCCAGGGGTTTCCAGGATGCGGGACTTTCAGTGCTACCACTGAGAAAATTCCAGGCAAATGGAGGACTTGGTCATCCTAGGTAGCAGTCAGTCTTCCCTACTTAATAGCTCTGTGACTTTGGGCAAGTTACTTAACTTCTCTGTGCCTCAGTTTCCTCACCTGTAAAACAGGGAACACAAGAGTAACTACTCTGATAGGTTTGGGGAGATGACAATAAAATGCTGTGTGAACAGTGCCTAGCCTGTTCTAGTGAGCACTCAGTACGTGTTCTCTGGTATTGCCTATAAGTTGGGGTAGCAGGTAGGAAAATCTTGGCTGCTGGAGCCTAACGGGTCTGAGTGAATCCTTGTTTAAATAGTGACTCGCCTTGTGGCCTCAGGCAAGTCACTTAGCTCTCCTGAGGTTCCTCCTGTGTAAATAGAGGCTGGTCCATAGGTTAGATACATGCACGTGGAACATTGTAACTGTCATCATAGTAGCCAGGCAAAACCCCAGATCATAAGTCAAGACCTACATTGTAACTTCCAGAGCCTTCCTCAGAAAACAAATAGCTAACTCCCCCTCCTCACTGTGCTGGCAGGGAAAATCTGGGAAAGCATTGTATAGAATCATAGCTCAAATTTCTGATTAACAAGAGTCTTTTCTGCTCCTTACCTTGATTGCTTAGTATTATAAGAAGTACCTAAATATGTTCTTACGGAATGTTTCTGTTTAGGCAGATTTATTTCAGAAACCTCCAGGCATTGTTCCAGAAACTCGAGTGTTAGCGTCACCACACTCATCCTAAAATGTGTGTGCTCTGAGTTCAACTGCTTCTCTTAAATGAGCCTGCCCTCCTCACCGTCCCCACTGGAAGGTCAGAGCACCTTCCCCAGGCCACTCTAAGGATGGAATGAGAGCAGAGGCTGCTCGGTCTCTGCCTTCTTCCAAGAAGGCTGCTGTACACAGGCAATGTAGTCACATCGCCATTTTGATAACAATGGCCCAGCAGCTCAATGACAGAGCATCGATGTGACATCTCACAGTACAAGAACGATAATCAAGTGTGGGGCTTTGGAATCAGGCAGGGTGGGATTCAGATCTCAGCTCTGCCACGTGCTAATTTTATAATCTTGGGCAGGTTGATTAAGCTCCTTGTGCCTCAAGTTTCCTCATCTGTAAAATGTGTAGGATCGTGCCCACTCCCTGGGGTTGTGGTGAGGAACAAAAGGGCTCGCGTGTCTCAGGTTCCTAGCACAGAGCTGAGCACATAGTGCGCACTCCGTGAATGCAGCCGTCATGGGAGCGGTGGTGGTGTTGATGCTCATGCTGGTTGAGTCAGCTGCACTTGCTGAGAACTTTGTGTTGGCTTTCCCCCTGGTCACGCAGGATCAGTTACAGCTGTGGATCCGCGGCAATGTGAGTGCCTGTGCCAGGTCCATCTTCATATTCGATGAAATGGATAAGATGCACGCGGGCCTCATCGACGCCATCAAGCCCTTCCTGGACTATTACGACCACTTGGATGGGGTCTCCTATCAGAAAGCCATCTTCATATTCCTCAGGTAAGGTTGGGGCGGGGACGTGATTGAAGAGCGCTGAGCCCGAGCCTTTGGGCTTCAGGAAAGAATCCAGTGCTTACCCACTGGAATTATTTTGCAGCAATGCGGGAGCAGAAAGGATCACAGATGTGGCTTTAGATTTCTGGAGAAGTGGAAAGCAGAGGGAAGAAATCAAGCTCAAGGACATGGAGCATGCCTTGTCCGTGTCAGCCTTCAACAACAGGAACAGTAAGTGGGGCCGCTTACCCCTCTTGTCCGTGAGCCCAGGTCCCTAAGTTTTAAGTGGGCCTCACCGTCACCTGGGAGCTGGTTAGCAGTGTGAATTCTCAGCCCCGTCCCTAGCCCCACCGAGTCAGAATTCCTGAGGGACTCTGGTAACGAACCCCAGGGGACTTAGGCACTTGCAAGTTGAGAAGCGCTGTTTCAAAGAAAGAGGGAAATTATTGATCATCAAGATCCTGAAAGTTAGTTGCCTGTTTTCTTCGGCTAAATCATTTTCCTTTGTAGAAGAAAAGCGGGTGGTTGAGCAAGGAAGTTGCTGTGGGTGCCTCCGAAGGAGGAGACGACCTGTCAGCTCCCTTTCTTTCTGTGCGTTGCCCGAGGACTCTGAGGCTCTGTGCCCGAGAAGAACAGCCAAATGGTCGGGCCCTTGTTCTGTACTAGGCACTCTGTGAAACACTCCTTTATGTTATATTTCCTTTAATCTTCACAAAAACCTCATGGGGTAGAGGGGCCAGCCCGGTGGCGCAAGAGGTTAAGTGCACACGCTCTGCTGTGGCGGCCCAGGGTTCTCCGGTTTGGATGCCGGGCGTGCACTGACACACCGCTTGTCAAGCCATGCTGTGGCGGCGTACCATATAAAGTGGAGGAATATGGGCATGGATGTTAGCCCAGGGCCAGTCTTCCTCAGCAAGAAAAAGAGGAGGATTGGCAGATGCTAGCTCAGGGCTGATCTTCCTCACCAAAAAAAAAAAAAAAAAAAAACCTCCTGGGGTAGAAACTGTTATTGTCCCCATTCTACAGATGAGGAAACTGAGGCTCAGAGGGAGACAGTAGCTTGCCTAAAGCCACACAGCCTGTCAGGCGTCTGATTCCAGAGTCCAAGCTTTTAATCTCTGCTTTTCCAGTGAACTCACACCTTTGACCTTGAACCCCTTGGGGTAGAAAGACACCATGAGGAGACTGACGCACTGGGTAAAACCAGGGAGCTGTGCGGGTTGACTGTTACCATTCAAGTCTTTGCTCAGGTTCATTCTTTTTTTTTTTTTTAATTTTATTTATTTATTTTTTGTGTGTGTGTGTGTGTGTGTGTGTGTGTGTAAGGAAGATCAGCCCTGAGCTAACATCCGTGCCCATCCTCCTCTTTTTGCTGAGGAAGACTGGCCCTGAGCTAACATCCGTGCCCATCTTCCTCCACTTTATGTGGGATGCCACCACAGCATGGCTGGACAAGCAGGTGCATCGGTGCGCGCCCAGGATCCGAACCCAGGCCACCAGCAGCGGAGTGCGCGCACTTAACCGCTAAGCCACGGAGCCGGCCCGGTCAGGTTCATTCTTGAGATGACAAAACAAAAGGTCTTCTTTGAAACAGACCTGCCAAGTAATTCATTGCAGAGTTATGTGAACAGTATGGGGTATTTTATGTCAGTTTGTGCAACTAGGATGTTACTGATGAAAGACAAAATATTTTGTAGTATGTTGAATAGTTTCTGGGCACGCCAAAAAGTACACGCATGTGCAACGGAAACCTTAGCCTGAATACCGCAGCAGGTGAGGCCGCGTGCCGAGAACCCGCACTGCAGGGCGTTACAGAGGGATTCCGGAGTGTGAGCTTCAGCATCGGGCAGACCTGGCCTCAGGCAGGTGGCCGAACTCTCCTCCCTCCGTTCATTTAACAAATGTTTATCGGGCATCTACCAGGTGTCAGGCACTGGTGAACAGAGCAGTGGAGAACAGGAGTCCTTACTCCTGGAGTTCACACCCTAATGATATAAATAGGCAAGGAAATGTGCCGAGGATGGATATACATCTACGTCCGTATAGAGGTAGACATCTTCCTCCCCCCACCCAATAGGGACAAAGTAAATCAATAAAGAGGGTTTAGGGCGTGCAGGGAGGAGGATGGGCTGCAGGTTTAAATAGAGTGTCAGGGAAGGCGCACTATGGGGGTGACGTTTGGGCTGACCCAAGGAGTGAGGGAGTGAGTTGTGTGGACCCGGAGGGAACAGCATGTGCAGGAGCCCTGAGGTGGGGGTGTGCCTGTGGTCACTGGCCCGTCCGGGGTGAACAAAGAACAGGAGGTTAGATAAGAGGTGAGATTTGGGGTGGGGGTGCAGAAGGCCTGGGGGGGGCTACAGTAAGGGCTTGGTTTTGACTGCAAGTGGAGGAGGGGGCCCCTGGAGGGTTTTGATCAGATGGTGACGTGGTGGGACGTAGTTTTAACAGGACTGCGCTGGCTGCTGGGTGCAGAGTAGACTGAGGCGGCAGGGGCAGGGAGACCGGTGAGGGGGCGCTGTAACAACCCGGGGGAGAAATGCCGTGGCTGGGACGGCGTGGGAGTGTGGGAGTGGTGTGATAGGTCGGGCTGGGATGTATTTTGAAGGTAGAAACAGTAAGTTTCCTAAAGGATTGTGTGTGGGAATGAGAGAGAGAGACGAGTCGAGGATGTGGCTTGAGTCCCTGGAACGGTGGCACAGTCCCTTAGGAGGACGGAGTGCGAGGGGAGCAGGTTTGTGGGGAAGGGTGGGAGATGAAGACGGGCGTGTTCCTCGAGCAGTGACACGTGTTCCGTGAGTGATGACACATGTTCCGTGAGTGATGACACGTGTTCCATGGGCAGTGACACGTGTTCCGTGAGTGATGACACATGTTCTGTGAGTGATGACACGTGTTCCGTGGGCAGTGACACGTGTTCTGTGAGTGATGACACGTGTTCCATGGGCAGTGACACGTGTTCAGTGAGTGGTGACATGTTGGAGACATCCGAGCAGAGATGTGGAGCAGAGGGCTAGATACCCCAGTGAGCTCCAGGGCAGCCTTCAGGCTGAGGATACAAACTGGGGAGTGGTCCCCAGCTCATTTTTAGAGCCACAGACCATCTGAGGTCGCTTGTTCCACCAGTGGAACACTCTTCCTGGGTCTCTGTGTGGTCGGGTCCTTGTCAGTCAGGCTCTGCCCAGAGGTCACCTCTCAGCCAGGCCTTGCCTGACCCCCTGGCTCATTCGCCTTCTGCTGTCCTGTCCTCATCACTCCACCTCAGCACTCACAGCCCACATTCTCTGAAATTGTCAACTTACTGGCTTGTTGGGTGGCTCCTCAATTGTCAACCCCGTGAGGGCAGCGTCCGCATGTGCCTGGCTCTGTGCTCTGTCCCCAGGGCCCAGGGCATGCCTGGCACACAGTAGGCCTGCAGGAAAGGACTGTTGCACTTGTTACTGCTCAGCGGTCAGCTCTGTTCTGGCCCCTGGCCACAGACTCTGCCCCATCCGGGCAGTCAGGTATTCACTCAGCACCAGTTGTGTGCAAACTGTCGGGAAAGGAAAGCAAAAACCCCAGTTGTGATATTGGAACTTAGAAGAAGTATGTGTCTGGTCTTCATCTCTGTTTCTGGCACAGAGCTCCTAAAACCCTTAGACTTTCCTAAGTGATAAGAGCCATAAAGGTGTCTTGATATTCATAACAGATCCCTTTCAGCCACACCTGAGTTTGTTGATGAGATGACTTTTGACTTAAAGATGGGGGCTGGTTGCCAGGGGAACCAACCCTGTGATTGGAGGGTTGGGACTTTTCAGTCCCACCACCTGACCTCGGGGGACGGGAGAGGGGCTGGAGGTTGAACCAATCACCAATGGCCAGTGATTTAATTAATCATGCCTATGGGATGAAGCCTCCATAAAAACCCAGAAAGAGGGGGTTCAGAGAGCTTCTGAGTTGGTGATCATCCCACATGGTGGAGATTCAGGGAGAGTAGTGCTCAGAGAGCATGGAAACTCTGCCCCTTCCAACATACCTTGCCCTGTCTATCTCTTCCACCTGGCTGTTCCTGAGTTATATCCTTTTATAATAAACTGATAATCGAGTAAGTAAAATGTTTCTCTGAGTTCTGTGAGCCACTCTAGCAAATTAACCAAACCCAAGGAGGGGTCACTGGAACCTCCAATCTTTAGCCTTTCGGTCAGAAGCACAGGTGACAGCCTGGACTTGGGATTGGCGGTTGAAGTGGAGGGCAGTCCTGTGGACTGAGCCCTCAACCTGTGGGATCTGACACTATCTCCAGGTAGACAGTGTCAGAATTGAGCTGTATTGTAGGACGCCCAGGTAGTGTCAGAGAATTGCTTGGTGGTGTGAAACAAACACATACCGGAATTGGTGTCAGCCTCAGACCTGGATTAAGGCACAAGAAATTAAGTGAGAAAGCAGAAGGGAACTGGTTCGCGTGAAGAAATGCTGGCTGTGACCCAGCAGGTGCTGTGTCGTCTCAGAGGAGGGAGCAATGCTGGGTCTAGAGACCCCGGAATGCACCAGCGGACGTGACTGGGTGGGTGCAGAGCCAGCCCCCATCCCGGGAAAACACATGGCAGAGTCCATGCCCTGCGGCCCTAGCAGAGCACTGTCTGCCCACGTCACTGCTTTGAGGGTTCTGTTTCTCGGTCCCTCCCAAATGCTGCGTGCGGTTTGGACACACTGGCCGTGGCAGTGGGTCGCTACCCTGTCGCTAATCCAGTTGCTGCAACTCCAGTGAGTCGCAAGTTTCCGAAATAAAGGCGTGGCCGGTCCTTCCCTGGGAACTCTTCTCACCTTTCGCTTTCTGTGAAACTCTGTTAACCTTCGAGCTGGTCCCTTTCCCACTTCAGATCTTTAAGGCACATCTTGGCAGGCGTCCCCTGAGTCCACAGCCCAAAGAAGGTGTCCCTTCCCACTGTCACGTCACTCTACCCTTTGCTTTCATAGAAGCGTCACAGCTTGTAGCTCCTTGGCGAGCCCACTGGTGATGTCCGCCTGCCCGTGAGCTCGGGAGCTCCCTGAGGGCAGGTGCAGGCTCTGCCTCCGGGGCGGAGTCCACGCCCAGCAGCTGCGTGTGGGGCGGATGTCCGCCTGCCCGTGAGCTCGGGAGCTCCCTGAGGGCAGGTGCAGGCTCCGCCTCCGGGGCGGAGTCCACGCCCAGCAGCTGCGTGTGGGGCGGATGGACGGTGGGTGAACAGCTCCTCTTTCTTTCCCAGGTGGCTTCTGGCACAGCAGCTTAATTGACCGAAATCTCATTGATTACTTTGTCCCCTTCCTCCCCCTGGAGTATAAACACCTAAAAATGTGCATCAGAGTTGAAATGCAGTCCCGAGGCTATGAAGTTGATGAGGACATTGTAACCAGAGTGGCTGAGGAGATGACGTTTTTCCCCAAAGAGGAGAGAATTTTCTCTGACAAAGGCTGCAAAACTGTGTTCACCAAGTTAGATTATTACTACGACTGATGGTGCAAGACTCGTTGCTTCACGTTGGAGAAGAGAGAGCTCAGCACCCGCATCTTTCCCTGTACCTCCCCCGCTGCGTTCCCACTCCTGGAAGAGGAGTAAAATGAATTCTCCCTGTTGGACGTGACAGGAGTTTTCCTGGGCATTTTCCTGGGCATCGTCGTCATTCAGTGGAGCCTGCAGGCTGTCACACGTTACAGGTCATGGGCGTCGGAGCAGCCGGTCTTCAGAGGAGGAAGGAGCTGGCTCCCAGCCCCTGCCACCAGGCCTCATGATTTTTTAAAAATCATGTTTTAATTTTAGGTGTTTCTGTTTCAAGGAAGGACGAATAAGTTTTACTGAAAATGTGATGACTTTATTTAAAATGATTTTTAACATTATGAGAAACTTTTCAGACTCTAAGTTGTTGGCTTTGTGTGTTTTTTTAACTGTTTTTTTTCCTGTCATTATAACGTATACCACGATGTCTTTATGGTAAAAAAGTCCAAGCCCGAGTCCTTGGCATGTAAGATGGCATTACTGGAGACCAAGGCTGGAGCAGTGACAGAGCTGTCACAGGCGGACCATCGCAAGGGGCAGTGAAGTGTTTAGGTAAAAGTACAGGTACAACGGAAGAGGACACACTCAGGCACGTCACAGATAAACCCTAAATGGGCCTTGATCTCAGTTACATTATGAACTGTAGGAACGATCTTAGTAACGTTGTGACGTCTGTTAGAAACACTTTCCTTCCAGAAGAGTATTTCCAGCTTGTCACTTGCCAGTCATTCAGCTTGCCATATTTTTTTTTTTTTTTTTTGCTGGGAAAGATTTGCCCTGAGGTAACATCTGTTGCCAATCTTTTTTTTTTTTCCTCCCCAAAGCCCCGGTACATAGTTGTATATTCTAGTTGTAAGTCCTTCTAGTTCTTCTCTGTGAGCCATCGCCACAGCATGGCTACTGACAGACGAGTGGTGTGGTTCTGCGCCTGGGAACTGAACCCGGGTCACTGATGCAAAGGGTGCTGCACTTTAACCGCTAGGCCATCAGGGCTGGCTCTGGCTTGCCATATTTTTTAAAAACCTTACTCATTTATTACTAATCTTTGTTAGGTTTAATCAGAACTCCCAAAACTTAGGAAAACTTAGCTGCCCCCAAGGATGCTAACAGTGTTTTTCTTTATAAATGCAAATAGCTACTGTTTTACAATACAATTGTGTGTAATTTGTGAATACATTTTTTTTTTAATTTTTATTTATTTATTTTTCCCCCAAAGCCCCAGTAGATAGTTGTATGTCA